TGAAATATGTTTTATTGCAAATTCCAGACCAACCTTTCAAGTTGTCAGCTCAATAAAGACAATTTCCTCTATATCTGAATAGCTCAATAAATGCTTTGTAGCTTATACATTATATCGTTTACTGTGCTCAACCTTTAAACAACCTGGGATCTAAAGAAGAAAACTTTACCCCCCTCCCCTTCCCCCTGGCAGGAAGGGAAAATTCCACGCAGAAAGAGGGAGCTATTAGGCAGTTCACAGTTCCTACCCCACAAGAATTTTTACTTCAAGTGCCTTTCCCTACATGACACAACAGTTAAGATCAATCAGGTGACCTGAAACATGATGTTTTGAGACTTGCTACATATAGCACCCAAACCAATTAATTTCAAGTCTAAACTTGTTTCACCAAATCATACATACACACAAAACACATAGCAACCCATGACCCTCTCAACAGAACAACATTAACCTTGATTGGGGGAGAATAACAGATCCTAAGCAGATCGCACAAGAACAAAAACAGGGGAGACAAACTTATTGTTTTCTGATTCCATCTTCACCAGATTATGATGCTTACTGGAAAAACAGATTAGAATAATCTTGGTCTAGGACTTCCACTCTCAGCTGCATGAGATAGACTCTCCATCACCAGGTGAATGTAGCTCACAATTCTGAGTGTGAATTCTGAGCACCCCACATGCAGAAGGCTATCGATGGCAGTGGCAGCACCAAAGCCATTTTCACGGTCTCCACATCAATGAGGTCTCCGCTGAATTCCTTCTGTTCGTTAACCAAAGCCTTAGAGAATTTTGCCCTAAGGCAGAGTGCATTTGAAAGTAGATTCCAAGGGCTCAATGGAAAGTAAATGTCTAGAAAAGAACGATGGGATATATGTACTTATATGCTGGATACAACTGATGTATGAATTGTGACAAGAGTTGGAAGAGCCCCCACTAAAATCATCTAAAATAAATAAATAAAAGTAGATTACCTTCACCCATCTTCAGCCCACCAAAGGAGGAGCGGTCTCTTAGGGGTGTGCTTGCCTGAGTGTGTCCTTGATGAATAGTACTGGGGGGTTCCATATTCATGAGTCCTGCTCTAGGAGTCACGCCCTGGATCAATCTTTTTTAGTTTTTTAATGGTTTTATTAGCACTTCATCCACATGTCATACAAATCAATAATTCAATCATATCAAGAAGAGTTGTACAATTGCACCATATTCAATTCCAGAACATTTTCCTCTTCCTTGTAGTCATTGCTATTCATGTAGTTATTTTTTTTCTAGCTGTGGCAAAAATGCACACAACAGAACCTTCTCCAATTCCACAACTTCTATTTGTATAATTCAGTGCCACTGATCACACTCTCCATGTTCTACAGCCACTATTGAGATCCTTCCTAAATTATTCTACCACCATTGGCATAAACTCAGTGCCCCCTGCAGCACCCCTTTGCCCTTCACCTGTGGAAACCATCGGTCAAGTTTGGTTTCTTTTTTATTTTTAATGGTTTTGTTGATATAGCATTCACATATCATACATTTCCATGGTTAAAATGACTTGTATATAGATAATTACAATCAATTCTAGTGCTCCCTCCCCCTTCCTCCACTCATTTTTTGCTCCCAAATCCCCTCACCCTCCCTATCCGCCATCCCCACATCCCCTGACAAACCATGGAATCCTTTGTTATCTCTTTATGTATCTACTCCCTCTGAGCTTCACAAACTGGGAAACCCAACAGAAACAATAAAAAATAAAAAGAAAAGAAAGTGGTAAGGATAAAATAATAATGTAAATAGAAAA